AGGTTGCTGACTGTGACGTTTTGGCCCTGGCCCTGCACTTTTCCGTAGGTCCAGTAGTCGTAGAAGACGTCGTTGGGCAGGTAGAACGTGACTGTGTCCGAGTAATCGACTGTCACGGGGGAGATAAGAAGGGCATTACCGTAGAACCATTGTTCTTGGATGTCGAAAGTCTTTTCGTCTTCTGGGTAGAGGAAGAACAGTGGGTTGATCATTGGAGTGCCGTCTTGGGTTTGGTAGTAGAGGGCGGTGTAGATATAGTCCATGAGTTTGTAACGGGTCTCGATGGCCTTTTTGGCGGCATTGGCGACAACGGGCCATTGGTAGAATTCTTGCTGGATAGTGCTGAGTTCGGCGTGGTTGCGGTAGAAGGGCTGGAAGGCGCCCAATACGGCCCACCGTGCGCACATGTATTGATCTGCGTTGCCGTTGAAGCCACACACATCGGAGCCGACCATGGGCATTTGGTGCATGGAGACGAAGGACAGCATCTGGCGGATGGAGGTGCGGTAGTGCTCCCAGATGGAGGCGTTGTCACCGAACCAATGTGCTACCTTGCGGCCGATTCCCGCGAATGTGGAGCGGGTGAGGACAAAGGGACGGACCTTGGGACGACGGATGAGCATGGATTCGCGGGTTGCCGAGGCCATCATGCTGCCGTACAGGTTGTGCGTGTCGTACTGCCAGGTTCCATCGTAGTTTGTCGTGTTCATTGCAATGGTCTGCTGCGAGATCTTACCGAGATGGCTGTTGACGCGGTAAGCAGGGTCGAACCAGTTGCGGTCTGGGAAACCCTTCATGCTGCCGTTGGCGGATTGACGTGGAGTAATGATACCAGCGGACTGACGTGTCTTCAAGCCAGCAGAAGATTCGCGAGAAAGAAGGTACTTCGAATCACGAGCCTTGACTGAGCTGTTACCGGAAGAAGGCTGGAACGACGCTGGGAAGCCGGGGATAGGGCGACCAGTGTTGGGGCGAGGAGCATTTCCAGGTTTTGGTGGGATACCATCGTCGATAGCCTTTTGGCGGGGGTTGCAAGTCTGAGGGTCCTGGCAAAAATTGGATGCCTCGTTCATGTCGACCCAGAGTCCATCAAGGTTAATACCGCTATCAGCATCAAACTGCTTGAGAATTTCCTGTGTCCACCACTCCTGGGTGTTGGGTGCAAACCAATCGGGCCATGCGACCTCTCCAGGCCACTGGACTCCAAGGAAATCAGTACCATCGGCAGCCTTAAGGAAAACCTCCATTTCATGGCCCTTCTCGTAAGGCTCGTAGTTGCCGACCGCATGAACACCAGGATCCAAGATCAGGACGTACTTCTGATCGCGCGAGTGAAGAGTTGATACCAATTCACGCATCTTTGAGAGCGGGAAACGATCAGGATCGGTGGTAAAGTCCTCGCGAAGGTGCATGTAGTCGATATCGGTCCACATGACCTCGAGAGGAATTCCAGCAGTGGAGTAGTTGGCAACAACTTCCGCAACCATGTTGACATCCCAGTATCCGTACTTGCACTGGTGGAAACCAAGAGTCCAGTATGGGTACATTGCAGAGTAACCGGCAACATCAGCGTATTGCTTGGAAACCTCGGCGGGCTTGCTGCCAGCCATGAAGTACAAATCAATGACTCCACCAACGGTGTTGTACTCTAGGTACTGATAACCACTGTCGGCCTTTTTAATGTCCACTTGCATCGGACTCGAGTTGAGCATGAAAACACCATGAGTACCCTTACCACCACGGTGGTCAAAATACACTGGGTGAGAGCCATACAGATTGGCGTTGGTGGGAATGTTAATGGACTCGCCGTTCAAAAACACACGCTCGTACTTATCCGTATGGAAGCGGAACGAATCACTGTGCTCACCGAGACCGTAGATGTTTGGGTTGTCAGGGAGCTTGGTCCGAAGGCGCACGTACTGTTTCTCGAAGACCAGGGGGACGGTTTCAGTATCAAAAAGAACCTCACCACCATCCCTGCGCTTGACTGTAAAAGAAAACGGACTTTCCTTTACATCAAATTGGAGGGCCGTGCTGTCCGTTGATGCTTTCTCGTGTTTTGGCCGGGGGAAGACTGATTCTTGGACCTGGAAAACCTGGAGGTCGGCATCGTAGATTTTGACGTGAAGACGCTCATCTGATCGTTAGTTAGTATGAATGGCAACTTGATACAGCAGCAGAACAGGGAAGACTCACTATTTTGGTACTCGACGAGCAACTTTAAATTCTTAATATCGTCGCTGTATGCATTGCAGGCATCACCAGCGAGAGTGAGATCGGCCGTCAAAGTAGAGTCTTTTTCAACAACATTCGAGGCAGTATAGCCAGGGCAGCTATCCACTTCTGCGCGGCGAGTGAGGGTAGCAGCGAGGTCAGTAGCCTCGTGCACTAGAGGAGCCGCATTAGTGAAGCTCGAGCAGGCGGCAAGCCCGAGCAAAATATGGCGTATCATCTTAGTCAACTAGCAGTGTTCACCAAGAGTTGAGAGCCGATTGTGGGGAAGGAAGAAGAAGACCAAAGCAAGGCCGTTCACTCCAGGACTATATAATGAAAGAAAAGCTTGGAAGTGAAGGCGCTTAAGTTACCGTTTACTATAACGGCAAAGGATAATAAGTGAGCAAGGGTGCGACTGAGACTTTTGTCCACCGCTTGACCCACATCATACTGGCTTGGGCCCTGCACCCAAGAAGGACCACATGATGCTTTTCCGGGGAAGGAAGCTCATGCTAGGTCACAAAATGACAGCATGCCGAAAGAGAAGAAAGGAAAACAAAAAAGGGGGTTTGTTTTGCCTTCGATTCATCTCCGAATGTATAGACCAACGGTTGCCATGGAATACGCAAGCAGCATAGAATTGCGTACCTTGCGCATTTTTTTCCCGACCCATAAGATTAAACACCAAGCAAACCAATATTACTTGCTGGGAGGGCCCAGCGCGTAGATGAAACAAAACATGATTTGTTGTATGGGGACTAGTCGCGGACTAGACATGGGGTTAACTAGGGAATCTCGACTACGATCCGGGGTGAGAGGCTTTCCTACCACTACAGTTACATCAGATGGGTCTTTGCCCATTCCTGGAATGTATCGGCGTGCGTTTTAATGCCAGCACACATGGTTGTCTTCCAATCAACAGCCATGTCACAAGGGGCAAAAGATCCCATCAGGGGATCGACATAGAAGCGTCGGCGCCTTGGCCGGGGACGAAAATGCACAACATCAGATCAAAAGTCCAGGGGCAGTAACCGATGATGACGATTACACAAGCAAAGTCAACCACCGCGCAAGGAAAACTGTAGGTCGGGTGTCCCCGAGAGACCCCCCTTCTTTTGGCATTCCAGACATCGTGAGGTGTCTTCGTGACGTTTGGGGGGGACTCTGGGCAGATCAGACGCAAGGTTCGCGTGAACGGCCTGTCTCCACTGTTCCCGCGCTAATCATCCTAGCAACATGCGGGGGGCCGAGTCACATGCCCCCTTCTCAACAGACTAGAAGGGCCAACGGGGTGCGGTAGCAATCTTGTCTCTTGTCCACTCTGCTCGTTCCGCTTTACATTCTTCGTTTGCTCACACTTGGGGACCTGCTACTCTCGGAACATGTATGCGTGACTAGTCATTGGAAGAAGCAGAAGGAGAAGGTGTAAGCAAGGCTCGCGCTGACCGGGCCCTTGGGCAGCAGCAGCATTCACATGCCGTCATCAGATCCACTTCCCCCTCGTCCTTGCATTGCCTTCCTTTCTCCACCGCCTCGCCGCCTTTCCCGTGTCGGCGCGCACGGAATCAAACGTCCAAAAGAAGAAAAAAAACAGGGCGTCACGTATACACACAGAAGAAAAATGTACATGGTTGACCACGTAAGTTATCGATACGCACAGTCGTGAATTGAACCACGTCAAAGTGGTACGTACGGTATCTAGGTACAACAAACAAACAATATGTACATGCCGGTACACGCATCAAGCAAACCCGAGCAAAAACAAAAAAAATCGCAGGGCTTAACCACAAGACTCCAAAAGAAAAAGAAACAAAAACACAAACCACCCACGTGCCCACCTTCTACATAGTAACCCTAGGGCCGCAACAACGCCGTCTTTTCCGTTGACTGTCGTCTGCCATCTATGCAGAGTGGGCCATGAGCATGTGCCAAGCAAGCCTTGTCCATGTGTCTGTCCCCAAGGACAAACCTTGAACTACTATACACCCATACGCTTTCCTTTGTCGCCCCAGTCCCGTTTTCAGTCGCGAAAGGGCCTACTAAAGGCTATACTACATACCGGATCGGCCTCCTTTTTTTTCTCCCTTCGTCTACCCCAAGGTTTCCCCCATTGCGCTGTTTTTTTGTTGTATGCAGTGTTTAGAACCATTATGCTCTAAAATCGAGCTTGTTCTCATGACTTGGGATTCTTTCCTCTTCCTGGTGGTTTGATTCGCTGCTAAGGATTAGCCTGGGCGGATGTTTCTTTGGATTTGGGACGCTTGACTGCTGTGTGCATGCGTAGGGCCGTGGGGAGTTTTGTTACTAGTTTGCGGGAAGAGAAAGTCCCGGTTTGCAGAGTTTTGGACGCTATTTCGCCTTTCCGCGGAATCTTGGTTTGGTTGTGATCGTGATCTCGATGGGAAGCCAGGCTGCGAAGTAGCTTTTCTTGGTGTTGCGGTGATCATTTAAAGTTGGAGCTATTTCGAGGCTAAAGATGTGGGTCAGCTTTTAACAGTGCGAGCAAGTATGCACGGAATGACTGGTGTTCAGAAAAGACTTTTGGATTGGGGTCGCTCCGAGCTACTCGAGTTAGCGAGCCTGCCAAGATGAAATACCAAAGCATCCAGTATTCATATGAGGAGGCTATGCTATGTGTTGTGTTTGAGAATGGGTAAACCATTCATGCATTACCAAAACGCCGTTATGCTCTCCCAGAAAGCATACCACGTGTGACCCAAAACGCCCACGCCATGTCACCCGCTCGATTTCCCAAAACCACCATAGCCCAAGGTGCACTTGATGCCTTACTTGTACTCCTTGCACCTTTCCAAACTCTCGCACACAGTGCCCTTCAAAATCCTCGACGCCTCAGCAACCAACTCGTGCAGGTCCTTACGGAAACGCTGGCCTTCCGGAGTATCATGCTCTTTGCTATGCTTCTGTCGCCGAAAAGCATCTCGAATAGTTTCGAGAATACCAACCATTTCTTTGCGGAGGTCTTTGCAAGTGTCCTTGACGAGCTCTTCCACATCTTCTTTGGTCCGTTCCGCAATGGCAGGAAAAATCCCTTGGAGGCCAAGGATCTTCTCTTTGAGATATGCATGGCGGACGTCCATGACCTTCTGGCGTTTTCCGGCTTTTTGCAGCTCGGCCTTTTTATAGACAGGATCCATTGCTTCGTGTATGTATCCTTTTTCGGTAGGCTTGATGGCTTTGCCGAAGACTTCGATGACGCGTTCGCGGAGCTTCTTCGTGGCAGCTTCGATCGTGACTGTAATGTTCTTTTCATGATCAACAACATTGTTGCCGAAGCAGGTCCGGTACGCATCTCCGGCTAGAGCCTGTGGATCATCTGGGATAGATTCGTGTATTAGCATGGTTAGCATGATTAGCGGAAACAGCGTGACGAAATACCTTTCAATCGCTTATTTAGTTCACGGAAGCTTGTCTTGATAGTTTGTGCAGCATGGGCTTTAAACGATGAAGGTGCACCTTCGATTGCTTGTCGGAAATGCTTATCAATATCAGATGCAACAAATGATAGGAGTGCAGCATTCACGTCGTGTTTAATGCCCAGCTTCTTCTGATGCCATTTCCCTGGCATTCATTAGCGGACGCTTCGTACATACGATACCAGGATGATGTACCATGATGTTTGACTAGAGCCCTATGCGTAGCGGCAGGCTGTGATAGTGAGCAACAAGTCGTTTTCAGAAACACTCAATTCTTACCATCTTCTCAAGCTCCTCGAGCTTCTCCTCGGCCTTGCTATCAAACTTGTCCTGCAGCTCACGTTTTGAAAGCTCAGCCAAAAGGTCTTTCAAGAACGTGTTGCGGCATCTCTTTTCTATTTTCTCGATGTTCAACTCGATATCCTATTTTTTTTATTCAGTGAATGTCCATATTGAGGCTGCACCTTGACTTTGATTCTGTACAAGCACACAAATCGAGTTCACATCCTTCCGTCAAGCTTGTTCTTCAAACACAGTGATCAAATGACTTACCTTGATGGCCTTGTCCAGAATCTTAGTTACATACTCTACCCGAGCTTCTGTACTCTTGCTACAGCTCATCTGGAAGATGCTTAGCAGCATGGGGATTTTAAACTGGATAAAGTTTTCAAGAACGGCGACCTTTCCTTGGGAAGGCTGTCCAGCAATATGATTGAAAAGCGCAAGGATTTTTGTGTCTTCCAACTTCATAGACGGGATCTTGTCAGGATACGCAGTATTGTATCCCCGGCGGTACCGCATGTACATGCGATTAGAAATGCAAAAGGATGCAGCGCCCGCATCGTCGCCAGTGTTTTGACTGTACATCCGGCTCAAACCCGTAGCAACGAACCTGTTACGGCAAGCAATTCGAACGTCTTTACGTTCTTTTTCCAAGGAAACAATGCACGTCTTCAACTCTTTTTTGCGTGTACCCAGGTTCTTGTTGCTGGCGCGCAAGGCTTCCTTCGAGCGATCGTCTTCGGTGACAGAGCTTTTATTGCCTATGATTCTGATGCTTTTGATGTTTTGTTTGTTGGTCTCGATGTCTTTTTCGATAATCTGGACCTCACCTGTGAGTTCGCTCAGCTTTTCCTCGATGGGGGCCAGCTGTTCTTCCGCTACGGCATCCAGTTGCAGTGTACTACCACCATCATCATTCATTTCCTGTGATATCAATTAGTAAATGGATAGAACATGTATCCCGGATGGCTTACGTCAGATCTAGTGGCCACAAGAATGACGCTACCATGGTGTCGCCTACGGTGCGCATCCAGATAGTGCTGTCGAAAAGATTGGTCGCTCGTGGCCCGCTTGATGTCGACAACTACAATCGTCTTTTCGCACTGCTGCAAATAATCCTCTGCAGTCGTAACGCGGTATACGTTGATGTCTTTCGCCCCCGGTACATCGGCTAAGCAGATTCCATCCTGTAACAGAGGGCTGTCGACATAGTACCTGATAATCTCCACAAACGGCCATGGGCTGAAAGAAAGAGGCTTCCCGTTGAAACGCGCATTTGGTGCTTTCATTCGGAAAGGGCGAAGCTGTTCGCGCATGTCGCTGTGCGTGCTAGATGTGAGGAGGACAAAGAGCTCGCCGTCCCGAACAAATTGCTCGTGTATTTCAATGGTCCATTTCCGTAGCTTTGAGAGTACTGAACTATCTTTCCAAGACTTGCTTGTAAACATAAATTTCTCTAGCGATTCAGGTGCGACACGGTGAGCGAAGAGATGGTTCAAGCAATCCAGAGCGGCGTCTTTGCGTGCCCGATCGTCGTCATCGACGTCTTCTTCATCGCTCACCATCCGCTGTTGGGTAGCAAACCATTGCTTAAACCAAGTAGTTACAAGGTTTTCGAGGCAATATTCGAGGCAGTAAAATTTTACCTCTGCTTGGACAGCACCTATATTGGTGGAGAGTTTCTTCTGACGGAACTCCGTTACCACGTTAGTGCAGGCACTGCCACTATCACCCTGCGTTGTCGTCAGTTAAACAACTCAAGCAGTAACCTAGAACCAAAATTACTTCTGGAGTCAGGTCGTCACCTAGTAAAGCATTCGTAGTTGCAGACTTCCCAGATCCTGTGTCTCCTGTCACTGCAAACCGAATCTCTTCCTGGTAGGAAATAATGCTATTTTTGACAGCTTGTGAGTGGAGACAAATAGCCTCTTCGCCACCAATACCCTGATTCGCAGCTGCTTCTAGGAAGTCTTTGAACACTCGCAGTATATTCTGAACATCCTTCTCTGACCGTTGAAATCCTGGATGGTAGATGGGTAGCTTTGGACGGCGCTGCTGAGTTAGGTCAAGCGGAGGCACTGCTGTATCTTTTTCATCGTCGCTATCTTCATCTTCATCTTCACTATCAATCGATATCTCAGATGCTGGGAGGTATTAGTCTTTAATTTAATTTAGGTACGCATTGCTATGGTTGCATACCTGATCGCTTAGCGGGTAGCACAGAGCCCATGGTGCTAGGATTCCAGCTAGCAATAGCAGCTCTAGTGCTCGTCTCAATAGCTTTAAGTCTATTAAGATAGACTTTCGTGGGGTTTGGGATCATATTTGCTTCCGGAGCAACTGGTACTGAGCGTTCAGGTTCGAATACAGGACTCTGCGGACCGTCCAGCACACATTGTTGCATGTTGTTATCGTCCTCTTCCATCGCGGTCACTGAAAGTTGAGACAATAGAAAGATGGAAAAGAGTCAAGAAGGGAAAAGGATTGACGGGGTTCCAGTAGTTATAGATCGCTTTTAGGTGAGAGAGCAAGCCTTAGACCAGACTCCACTACAACAGCGAGGTGAGAGACCGGGGAGCCATGGTGTGAAGTTAATGGGCGTGGATCATGTAATACATGACTTCCATCAGCTCTCACCTGTCCTTTCAAGCTAGGGTACGTAGATAAAGGTACAATCAGTCCAAGGTGCTTGAGTATGGCCGGACTAGCGGAAATTGTGGTCATTTCCATGCCCTTCATTTTCAACATCATTTCGTTATTAATAGAAAAGTCTTTTTCAATGGTAGAGATGATTTTGGGGTGGCGACTGTCAGGAAAGGATTACTGACATGCTCACCTTCCCGAACTGAGAGAAGCACTGCTTATGTCAGCGGTAAAAGCTATGCGACTGTGATGGTCAGGCGTTACGAGGCCCTGCCAGCTATCACCTTTTTTTTGGAACAACTGGAAAAACTACTGGCATTTCAGACAATCGAATACGAAGCGTGATCAAGGCCAAGATGCGGGGTCCCCACATGGCGTACTCGCAGCTGGTGAGCAGGTTGATTTGCGCATGTGCGCCCTGGAAATACATAAGTTTCGGGCTCCTCCGTGTCAAGGCAAAGTTTCCTGCTGCTCTACTTGGCCGTCGGGCGTCTTTGGTCCGCAATTCATGGCGGAGGATCGTGGGATCAAACGGGCAAGAACGCGGCATGGGTCAGTGCTGCACAGAACCAGTGGAAACGACTACAACGTACTGACTTGGTCTCCAGATGTTTGAACTGCAAGATCAGGAGGCGCAAGTGCGATGAATTGAAGCCAACGTGCTCGCGTTGTGCTGCTAAGAACGACAAATGCGAATGGGCTTCTCGCCTCACCTTCCGAGCCGAGAATGCGTTGGCAATTCATCCATCACTATTGCATCAGCCCCCAGGATTTCCGCCTAAGCGTTTCAGGATTAAAGATGTTACTGCAGAAGTCATGCGGGACTACCAGTGTGACAACCCAGGAGATGGGCCCGACGCTTGCGATCAGTCTGATAACAAGTGGGTCAGTATTTACAGCGATCCCTCACCAACCACGATCGATGACCGGAGCTTCTTATTTCAAAATGGCTCGTGCTGGCGGAAAAACACATCTTGTACGAACGTTGAGGATATCCCGAGTCAGGCTCGACCCCAGGGATACGTACCCATACATGTTTCTGCAGATGCAGTGGTGACATGTAATAGTCCAGTAGTTGCCGCACACCCAGACAACACAATCTTTCTTCCAGGATCTGCATACCTCGACGCTCATACCGTATTCAGAAGTCATCTGAAACAAAAGGCACGATCCAGTGATGATACCCCAGAAGCCTCGCGTGACTCTTCAAGGGACACTCACATATGGCCTGTAGACACCGATTTCGATACAGTGGCAAAAAGACGCGCCACGCAAATCCCATTTGACACTGTCATTGGCGGGGACTCGAGCCGTCCTCAATTACCAGTGTTCCAGCTATCAGCCGAGGAAGAATTTGAGTTGTGGAAGAATTGGCTCGATGAAATAGCACCTTGGATTGACAAGTTCGATGGTGAACGCCATTTCCAACACCAACTTCCTATATTAGCACGTTCCCACGAGCACCTGAAGTACTCAATACTAGCATTATCAGCGCGACAGCTTGAGGTAAAGAACAAGAGCGTACACACCGAGCGCAGCCTAGCTTTATACCAAACGGCCATCCAACTTGTCCTTCCGCATCTACATACACGCAGCACGGCAGTGATAGCAACATGCGTGGTACTATGCGTACTAGAGATGCAAAGCAGTTCATCCAAGGTGTGGCATCAGCATCTAGATGGCTGTGCACATTTGATTGAGGCAGCCGGAATCCATGGCTTCTCTGGTGGCCTCGAACAAGCCCTGTTCTGGTGCTTCGCTCGTATGGATGTATGTGGTGGACTTATTGCATCATCCAAAACGCTCATCCCCGTTGAGCGCTGGGCCTTGGGCATGAGTCTTGATGCTCATGTGCATCTCTTTCGAGCGAACAAAGGATACAACACTCACGCGTGTGAAGTGGTATACTTGTGTGCACAGGTACTCGACTTGCTCTCCTTCCACCCAAATTTGGCCGGCCGCACTGGTGTCTCACTCGATACGTTAGAGATTCGAGATGAAGCTTACATGGCTCGGTGGGTGAGGCTTTGGAACCATGTTTCTGCATGGCATGCTTCGCGTCAGGCAGAGATGCTCCCCATAACATCTCTCACAAACCCTACACGGCCATTTCCCAAGATCCTGTATAGCAACTCTGCCGCCATCTCGGGGAACCAACTTTACCACACAGCGTGTCTTCTGATGCTTAAGCACAAGCCTGCAGGGATCTCTATCACACCTAAGCCGAACTCTATTTTCTGGCATGCACGCCAGATCTGCGGGATATCGATGAGCAATGACCACCACGGTGCGTGGACCAATGCGATACAGCCTCTGTGGATCGCAGGCCAATGGATGAGTCACGAGAGCGAGCACAAGGCCATCTTGGAGTTGCTGGAAAGGATTGAAGTACAGTCGGGGTGGAGTACAAAGTGGCGGGCAGAGGACTTGAGAGAGTTCTGGGGTTAGCAGAGCATCGTTGTTGTCTTTACTTTTGCATGTGACTTGTTCTCCTATGCAGTATGTATGATACTAATTGATACGACTTAATGTGACACCGAGTGTGTAAGTAGTCGTTTGTTGAAACGCGTAACTACCAGCGAAGATGTGGTGTTGTAATAGTGTTGATGGCAGACAGACGCGACAGCAATGACGGCACCAGTGCACGGACAATCTCGGAGGTAACAGCGGCGATGCTTACTATCGCTTGCTGCTCCATCACGACCGTCGCCGCTGGAGACACGTAGAAAGCGGTCGAAGTCGATTCCAATCCGAGTCTTCTTGTCCTGCCACTTGCATCGCTTGTTCGCCTGCATCCTCACTGTCACGCATGGGTTATACTACCCGATCAACACAACGCATTGTTGCCTACGCTTTCCTTGTCGGCTTTCCCGTTTAGCACTGTACACTCACCCATAGATCCACGACTAATCCTACACTCCTCCCACAGCCTGTTTGTCACTTTCTTCCATTGCATACTGCCTGGAAGCAGATTGAACAGCACACACTCTTCATTCACCGATTCCATATACCCTCCTCGACCCATTTGGGCGCCCCGCCACCATGTTCACGAGCTTCACGGGAAACCCGCGTCGGGCGCGACAGGTCAATCTCAGTGGGAAGAAGACCAATCCCTTCGGCCCTCCAGGCTCTGGTGCTGGATCACAGGCCGCCCTCGACCGAGCACAGCAAGACCGAGCACAACGACAGCGAGAACGAGATACATTAAATGCCGCCAAGCGAATACAAAGGGTGTGGCGGGGTCATTCAGCCAGGCGGAAAGTGGCTGACCAAGTACGGGATGAATGGGACAGACGAGAGGCTTCCAATGGACTCTCACAACAGGGAGCGTATGCCTCAGAAGACGAGGCTCTTGCTCAATTACAACGGCTACTTCGTTTTGCCTCCACCCGCAGCGAGGATGACCTGAAACGGATACAGCATTATGGAGCAAGACAGATGGAAACAGTGCAGTCATTGGGTCTGAAACCTAGCGGACCATGGCCGCCGGCATATTCAAGACTTCAACGGATTACCTTGGTTGCCATCGAACGCCAGCTCAGGCCCTCATCAACACAATGGAGTCAGATCGGGACATCTCTTACCACCCTGCAGTTTTTAGCCGAACAGATACCTGCCGAGACATCGCGAAACGCCCAGAACTATTACCGCACCCTCGCACAAGTCGTATCTAGGCTTTCTCCCGAACTCGAGTCGTCCGACAATGGGCTGAACGTAGTCGGCGTCGTGCTGAAAACCCTGGTCGCGCCACTGAAGGTTACTGGGTATACTTTGGATGCTTACGAAGCGCTTGGGGTGCACTTCTTGACGCTTCCGTTGCTTAGTTCAGACTCGACATCACCGCCTATACAGAAGCTTCGGGATTCGCTCGCCGACTCGATAAACTACAAATTACTTGCGAATGCGCTGGCTACACTAGCTAAACGATCTGGCCTACAAAACAGGCCGGAATTACAGAGTACACTGAGTCGGCTCCGCTTGCTGGGAACCTTCATCTATTTCCACCGCTATGCTCACAATTTTGATACCCCAGAGGCGTACGCTGTACACAAAGACTTTGTATCCGTTGTATCTGTTCTTCTGAATTCGCTACCTGTCAATATAGTTGATGAAGACCACCCCATCATGGAGATTACCGAAGACGATGCCGTCAATTCGGATTCAGGTGCAGTGACTGGGTTTCTCAAACAGCAGGTTGAATCTCTGGTGCATCAGGAAGGAATTGGGAGTCTCTTGGCTGGCTCATCGCAATCGCTCGACACTTCCGAAGACGAAAAGGTTGATGAAGCGCGGCAGCTTGCCAACTATGCACTGGCACTGCTACGCTTCTTTCCACGAAGAGGTGACGAAATACGCATGTGGCTTTACATTGGCCCATCGGAGTCGTCTGGGAAGAGCATACGGAAGTTGCCCGCTATCCGCTACTTCTGGGAGGCATCGAGAAGGTCATCAGTCTTTTCCACAATTTTCAAGGACTCACGGGCTGCCATTGGTCTACTGAAGCCAAAGTCATCCGACACTAACAGCTCAGGTCGTCCGGGTACATCCGGTCTGACAGAGCACGGGTTCTGGCAACCAGCGCAGCAGCAAGTAAATCGTGATGCCGCTGTTACGGATGAATGGCGGGTCATACTAGTATTCCTGGAACTTTACACATTTGTGCTGAAAGTTACAGATGACGAAGAGTTCTTCAGTGCCGGACAACAAGATGCCTATTCTGGGCAAGTCCGTGATAATGGACTACCTTTGACCGAAGTCAAGGACCTCACGACATTCTTAAAGAATCTTGGTTTCACACTTTACTTCAATGCAGTAGAAATCACCACATCAGAAGACAGTGCCGAAAGCAGCAGCACGGGGTTCAACTACTTCAACCCGAAAGCAATCGAAAATCAAAGCCAGAAAGAGCAAGTCGAGCCATCTATAGGCGGAGTGGCTGGATTGAGGATCGACTATGTTAAAGGGCTGGTCACAGGTCTCCTTCGTATGGTCTATGAGCGTGACTCGCGACGCAAGTTCCTGCCGCCAGACCACTGGCTGATGACTTCACGATTCGATATGACTGGCTTCATTCCAGCTGTAGTCGAGGAGGAAGAGTCACGGCACAAGATCCAAGAAGAGGACGGAGATGATCTAGATGACCAAGAAGAAGAGTTCGACGATACACCACAGCTCATTGGGACGAGTCGGACCCAGCAACAACGACGATTGGAGAAATTGCAGCGACAACAACGCAAGGCGTCAAGAAGAAGGTACCTTCAGGCTGTGGCTCCTCGGTTGGAAATACTGCAGAACATGCCATTCTTCATACCATTCACTACCAGGGTACAAATCTTCCGAGAATTCGTACACCTGGACATGACCAAGCGAAGAGGCGGTTCTGATCCCGAGCTCTGGCGATTCAGACTGATGCAGCAACCAAATGCTCGCGGTCAATTCGAAAGGCACTCTGCCAGGATCAGGAGAGAAAACGAGTTTGATGATGCTTTCGACCAGTTTTATGATCTGGGACAGGGCTTGAAGGAACCAATTCAAATCACTTTCTTGGATCAGTTCGGTGCACAGGAAGCTGGTATCGATGGTGGTGGTGTCACCAAGGAGTTTCTGACAAGCGTCACCAACCGAGCCTTTATGCCTACAGACTATATCGACATGTTCATCGAGAACGACCAACATCTCCTCTATCCCAATCCTGCGGCACTCGAAGAGCACAAGGAAGCTCTGCGACAAGCGGGCATACGCGAAGGATCACAAGAGTATCGTGCGCAAATCACAGAGCTGCTTCAACGCTACGAGTTCTTGGGTCGCATCATCGGAAAATGCATGTACGAGGGCATCTTGATTGACGTCAACTTTGCACCCTTCTTCCTACGCAAATGGGCCCTGACAGGCGGCGCCGGCTCCGCACCCAACGAATCAGGCTACCGACCAACGCTCAACGACCTTCGCGACCTGGACGAAGAGCTTTACCAAGGCCTGCACAAGCTCAAAACTTACCCCGGTGATGTAGAGGATTTCTCGCTCAATTTCACAGTTACAGACACCATTGTCGTCGACCATACCACTACACCCAAGAAGACCAAGGCTATCACCAAGGACCTCAAGCCCGACGGCTCCAACACACCCGTCACGAACCAAAACCGTCTCGTCTACATCAGCTACATGGCACGCCACCGCCTCCAGAACCAACCCTATGCCCAAACCGCCGCCTTCCTCCGCGGCCTCAGCACAATGATCCAACCCTCCTGGCTCTCCATGTTCAACCAGTCCGAACTACAAACCCTCATCTCCGGCACCCGTACCTCCATCGACGTCGAAGACCTCCGCCGCAACACCATATATGGTGGTACGTATGTCATTGGCGACGACGGCCTCGAGCACCCGACCATCCAGCTCCTCTGGAAAGTCATGAAGGAAATGTCCGACGACGAGCGCCGTGCTGTCCTCAAATTCGTCACGAGCACCCCTCGCGCCCCGCTGCTGGGCTTCGCGACGCTTAACCCCCGCTTTAGCATTCGTGATGCTGGTAGCGATCAGGAGAGGTTGCCCAGCACGAGTACGTGTGTGAATTTGCTCAAGTTGCCCATGTATCGTGATGAGGCGACGCTCAAGGAGAAGTTGCTGTATAGTGTTTTTTCGGGTGCGGGCTTTGATTTGAGTTAAGCATATGAGTTTGGTTTTGTTGGGGGGGGGGGTTGCAAATAGGCCTTTTTGTGAGGGGCAAAGTTCGAGGAGGTTTGAAGAAAGTATGACCAAGGGATTGATTTGCTCTTGGGGGAGTTCGTAAACAGCATGTATAGCAGTCGTGCCGTAGCAAAGTAGATGTAGACATTCTTTTTTTCTTCCCTTTCGACTGCAATAGAGACAATTTCCCCCCTCCCTCTCCCTTTGTCTACGTAAATTTCGTTTTGGAACTTACAATGTTCTACTACATGGTACAGAGTGCACGCATTTCAAAGTACAATGTGCAACGAGACACAAGAAAACGGGGATAGACATGTGAGTCTGATGAAGCAAAAAACCAAAAAAAAATGCAGGTTTGGGTATAGGGTTTGCTGCAGGTTTACAAAGCTTGGGGGCGACATATATGGCACCTTTCACAGGGGATAATAGTACTCCACTCTCTCCTCCTTTTATCTCTACCATCTCCACAACACGGAAAGGTAGGTCAGGTACAGGAGCGCAAAGGCCATTGTCATCGTCTAACAACGACATACTCTCCACGACATGCATCTAGAGCCTGGCACGCACCTAGTGTCGCTCAGGCATCTGATGCTGTCTCTTTAGATAACTCGCCTGTAATCCACAGTTAGAATGCGTAAATGTTCCTAGAATAAATCTATCCTAGGATTCCCTTAAAGGGAAAAATCAATCATTGAAAAAAAAAACTCACCTCATCAAGCACAGCCTGTAGTCTGCCTTCCTCAGCCACAACCTTCTTAACCGTATCGCTGACGTTGCCTTCGAGGCCTACATTACAGCCGCGCGGCAGCCATCTCAGTATATGAAACGCATTTGCGTATACGCTCGTTGCGCCCGTCATTCTCCCGTCGTCGGGTAGGCTGGCTTGTAGGATGATTTTGAAAGTCTTGAGACCCCAGCAGTATCGCAGGCCCAAGCGGACGAGGTCGGCGAAGCCATCGAGGATATCGTGGTGCGAAGGTATTGTAAGAACGACGTGTTTGATGAGGCTGCGGGAGCGCTGGTGCAGCGTCGAAAGTGTGTGTATGCCGCTTGTCAAGCTGAGTGTAAACACGTTGTCGCTGTAGAGAACCTGCCGCGCCTCCTTGTATATCTGCTTATTCAATCGCAAAATCTCTGGGATGATGGGGTCGCTAAGCGGAATGCGCTCCGGTCCTGGACTCTGGCCTCTGCCCCGCTGGTTCAAGTATGGTCGCTGCTCGGGCCCATGAAACCACACTCTACGTAAAACGGGCGCTGGCGCAGGAGGAAACTCGTCTTCGTCAGGCTTCTCGGGGGCACGGTCAGCATGGAGGAGGAGCGGTTCCTCGCGTACGAGCGCCATGTGGTATATGTGGATGCGAAGTTCGGCGGGAAGCTTCATGAATGGAAAAGGGGATCCGAGGATGTCGTCGACCGTCGGGCATGATGGCGCAGCTTCGCATTCGGACAAGTTGCTGGGCTCTGGTGTCGCAAGGCCGGTTCGAACGGGCGGGTTCAAAGGACTGGGGCATGACGTCGGACTCTCTGGTACTGCATCGCTGACAGTATCGCATGTGCGAGATCTCTTCGATCTGTTATCGTGAGGCTCAACCTCATCTGCTAGTATTAATCTCTTCCGTCTGGGTGCCGCGCGCCGATCCATGACTGGCTTCTCTGGTATGATAATATCGAATAAAGTCGAACAACTCATCGGCAGAGTAGCAATGTTAGGAAAGGTTTCTTTTTTTTGGTCGGCTATGCGGTGCCGACGGTCACCTCGATAGGAGGAAATGACGCGTCGGACGTGCGAAATACCACGTTCTAGTCTTAGGGAGACAGTCCGGCTAGCTAGCTCATCATCGCAGGCGCAGATACAATGGAATATCGGGTCGGATAACGCAACAATACAAACACAATAGCAAGAATCTTGTTTACTGATAAACAAAAAAGCAGTGAATGTCAGAAGTAGGTAACAGACAAGTGGATTCGCGGGTCGGAAGGTGGGTGATTGCGGGGTCGAGAACACCAGTAGCGCGTCTGAGGATCCAGCACGCAGGTGCCAATGCGCATGATAATTGCGTCACGTGCTTCTTCAATAAATAGTACAGAAAGAGTAACATGTGGGGTGTGAACAAGAGCCCTGAGCGTACCATGAATGCGTTGTGTTTGAAAAACATGGCCCTTATGAGCCAAAATAGCATTGCAGGAATTTGTCTCTGTCAAATGATTTGCACCAAATTGTTATCTACTGCAGCCAGGACAGTGCGGACTGCCGGCTTCGTATCTACACAATCGGCGTCGGTCGAGAAATTAATAATAAAGGGAATCAGAAAACAAACACACGCCCTATCCATCTGTTCCGCCCCCTACAGTTTGTTGTAACCTCGAAACTTATGAAGCATTCAGACACCTCCCCCCCCCCCTCCTACAGAATCTCCAGAGCATGAGGAATAATGTCTCCAGATAACCGTTTTCCAGTTACAGACATCAGGTAGCGGAGACGACAAAAAAGCTAAGGAAAATTCCTCCGCATACCTACCTAGACTACCTTATAAGTCTATTAGGTTATTGCTGCCGGGTTGTCGGTTCTGCTGCTGCTGGGCACCGAACGGATTGGCATTGCCGTACGGGTTGGCACCAAAGTTGCTCGCTGGTCCAGTCTGTGCAGGCATCAAGCGGTTTTGTTGAGGCATGCCTGTGAACTGCGAGTTCAAGAAGGGGTTATTTCCAGTGGCATTTGCGTTGATCTTATTCAAACCCGCGCCGGCTGAGTTGACAAACGTTCCTGGCGCAGTGTGTTGAGCGGGAATACGCATGTTTCCTACATTGCCAAAAGTGTCTTGACCCTCTCCGGTTGCCAAGAGTGCGTTGAGTCGGGCAGCGGTTGGGTCCATTTCCTTCTGCGGTGGTTGTGGTCGCTGTTGCTGCTGCGGCTGTGGTGTTGCCTGTGGAGAGAATGATGGCTGAGGGCTGAAGGACGGTGTGTTGAACTGAGTCTGAGTCTTTTGCTCACTTAGCGTGTTCAGCGTCGGCTGTGTGAAGGACTGCGTTGGCTGCGGTCGGTTGAAAGACTGCGCGAATGGGTTGTTGGAGCCGGTCGGCTGCGGCATCAGGGATTCCTGGGTCTTGTTGCTAGCCCATGGGTTGTGGCTGCCAGGCTGGAGTGTGTTCTGGTCTTGCTGCGGTTGCTGCTGCTGGCTCATGTCTCCAAATCCGCCAAATTGGCCATATGGGTTGTTAGTAAAAGCGGTTTGCTGGGGCTGAATAGTGTGCTGAGGTTGCAAATATTGCTGTTGCTGCTGAGCGCCAAACTGATCAAAACCTGTCGGTTGTGGCTGCTGTTGGAAACCTCCATAGCCCCCATACCCGTTCTGGAATCCCGTCTGCTGGGGCTGCATTCCAGTAGGCTGAGCGTATGCACTGTTGAGGAAACCAGTGTTCTGGGGTTGCTGCTGCTGCTGATTTGGATCCACAAGGTTGCCAAACCAGTCAACCTGACCCTGCTGCTGATAACCCTGATTGTTTCCGGTGGGCTGGTAGATACTTGGCTGGGCGGTAGTCTCTCCGAAAAGCAGGTCGGCATTGGTTTGCTCGAGCTCCTTGCGGCGCAACTCCTCTTCCTCTTTACTCAACTTGATCGCCTTCTCCAGGTCATCATCATTCTCATCGGCCCTCGCGCTGCGTTCTCGACGCTTCTTCTCTTCCTCGGCCTCGTTCCTGCTAGCCTCAAGGGCTAGTCTAAGCTCTATGTCCTCTTCTTCTGTTCTACGGTTACGACGCTGTTCGCCGTTCCGCTGGCGCCTTTGCGCATCATGATCTACACCCTGGGGTCCGCCTCCAGGATATTCCTCAATGCCCGTAACTCGCGACTTCCACGACTTCCTGTCGGCTCGCTCGGCGCGTAATCGTTCTTCGTCCATAATGAGCGAAGTCAACTCCTTGGCTGCCATTCGCACTACAAGTGTCTTAGTAACACGTTCTTGCTGCGGTGCGAGACGCGCTTACCATTCTGGCCAACGTCACGGCCATCCTCATCAATGTGTTGGAATTCGCGCAATGTCTTGATGATGTAGATATTCTTGCGCGCCCAGGTAACAACGAGCTCTGAGCCCTCGTGCAGGCAGTAGTCGAGCACTTTGAGCGATTTGAGGACGTGGCGCCAGTTCTTGCCTCGGTCGTTGAGTCGTTTGTCCAGCATGTCCATTACCTGGTAGAAGTCGGTCGAACTGGACAAGGTGTCAGCATAGCCGGGCGCGACCACACAAGGCGCCCATACCTATTGAAGGTGATTTGGGCAATCTCAGCCATGTCGGAGCCCACAGGGCCCCATGGATCGTTGCTGGTGGCTGCAATTGTTAGATGCGCCATACGTGTAGCTCACAGGGTGCTCCCTACCATTCCGGACCTTGACTTCGACCTGGCTGTAGCCCTTTGTCACGTTCTTGACGGACCTTGCGATTTTACTCATGGCTGCGATGTGTCTCGGAAAAAAAAATGATCAAAAGGTAGTAGGGGGCAGCGGAGCTGTCGGGAGGAAAGGTCGCAACAGGCGTGCAGCGGATCAGAGCTGGAGCGCTGGGCGTATGACGTGCCGCTAACCAGACGAGCTCAAGCAATGAGTGGCGCGATGATTTGGAGCCCGTAGAAGGTCCAGCGAGGGTGGGAAAATGGGGCTGTGTCTTCCGTGTGGGCTGTGGCAAGCTGTGGTAAAATAGACTTGCAGGAGAGTCGTGGATAGACGTAATGCGAGGCTGGTGCGCTGATGACCACCTGCAGCATAGCCAGGGCCCGAGCGACCGAAACCCAGGGTCGGAGCGCTACGACGTCAACCCCAGAAAATATCACCCGCCTTGGAAACTCCTCGATGTACCTAGCCAAGCCATAGCAGCCCTTCTCTACCCTTTTGAGCCGCCAATTTCTCCAAGTGACCAGATGTGCTCGCGAGCAGCCAAAGGTGCTAGAGGCGACTGGCGAGCGGGCTGACGAGGCAGATTCGTCAGCCGTCCTTGGTAATATCATGCAATGCTAGGGAACATGCTCGAGTGAACCCAACCGGTTTGGGCGAAGCCACAGCAGTGGCGTGAAATACCTGCAACAAAGTCCAACATGCCCAACAAAGATCAAACACTGTGTCTGAGAGATGCACGCTGGTGCGCCTATAATAGCAGCAATCCAAAGCTACGGTTGGGCATCATTGCAACCCCCTAACTGCCGGCACGACTTATTCGACCAACACCCACCGCACAAACGGCCTGTTGAGTCCAATCATGTCAAGCACCAAGGACACATGAGAGGCCCAAGGAATGCTGGTCATTTGTCATCTAGAGCTCACATTTGCCTCCATCCTCACTCTCACATTGCAGGCTCTGGAGGGATACCAACTAAATTAAAATTGATTCACATTTTTTGGTCCTGCTTGCGCAGAATAGTTGTAGTCTAAAAGTGGATGTAAGTCCTTCATTAAATACCAGTCTAGAGATTTGCCCATGTCCGTAAGAGAAACGAGACAGAAAAGATACAGGCCAGGACGCCCTTGCCAATCTTGATGTGTCGCAGACACGCCCAACGCCTGCCATCCTGTGGTGAGCTCCCGGTCAAAAGCAACTAGAAAGTAAACCCCGGAGAACCCGCCACCAGATAAATACCAGAAATGTAAACAGAGAGAAACTTTGAGAAACAAGGGAGGAGATGACAAAGTCGGGAAAACATGTAGAAAAACCTCCGAGCGCTTCAAGTCCTGCGAATCCATGAAATCTGCCATGCAGGACATTTTGATGTAAACAATAGAACACGCCAGTGCGCAAAGGAAAATTTTGGTTGGCAGTCAGGGTTTATGAATCCTGCTGGCCGAAACGAAAAAACACCACTCTAAAGGACTCGCATGTATTAGTTGTACAGACGAAAGCGATGACCCATGATGGTACCACCATGGCTCCAAAAGGCCCTGTTGAGTGCATGGTAGCTCGTCCAAGCCAGTATCCGAGACTGCTCGGCTATTACAATGGACATGATACGATGGTTGGACGGAGAGTCGATCAAGGCATTACGATACTAAAAGGTTTTGTGGTCTATTGAACGGCAGGCGCCCACATCTCGTTGCCCATCCGCTGTTGGTTGGGGTTGTAGTGATCAGGCTCGGTGCTGTTTGGGCGACGGATGTTGTTGTGTTGGTAGTACATGCCGTTCTGCGCCTGGTACTGGGGCTCAGGGTAGACGTATCCATTATCACCAGCACCTGGAGAAGGCAGGGCCTGTTGACCGGGCGATTGCCAGCCCATGGCAGACATATGCGGGCTTCCATTAGCGCTGTTGGTACCTCCAGACTGGTTGTGGTTGGCAGACGCAGGTGGCTCAAGGATCGGTGGTGGGCCATATGCACTTGGGTGGGATGTGATGGCGGGGCGAGAGCCGCTCACGTTGGAGCCATACGATTGCGCAGTAAGCGCAGGAGATGCTCGGGGGCTAGGCTGAGGCATCTCGTGACGCATGTGCGGTGGGACGTTGATGCCGCCCATGTAGGCGTAGTCAGAGCCCTGGCGGTGAAGACCGGGCATGCCACCTGCGGGCATTCCATTGGCAGGCGAGAGAGACAGCGTGCGGTCGTTGGGCGAAGGAGTGCCCAGCGGGGAAGCTGTCTCGGAATAGTCACCGCCGTCAGAGCGGCCAGTCCTGCTCGAAGCAGAAGCACGCGAGGCAAGCGCAGCGGCTGTAGCAGCGGCCGCCTCCTCAACAGTGCCAGTGTGGTGGTTCTGGTGACGTGTCAAAGTGGTGCGTCGCGTGAACGTCTTCTGGCAGTCGGCATAGGGGCACTTGTATGGGCGCTTGCCAGAGTGGATACGGCGATGGCGGGCCAGAGAGCTAGAATCACTAAAGGGCTTGTTGATGTTAGTGAGGAGAAAGCAAGCGAGCCAAGCGTGAAACATACCTTTCCGCATCGTTCGCACATGTGAGGCTTCTCGCCAGTGTGGACACGTTGATGAACCGTCAGCGCTGAACGCTGGATGAACTGCTTGCCGCAGTTTGGGTAATCGCAGACATGAGGTCGGATGCCGCTGTGGATACGTTCTGCGAGTGTGTCAGTGCGCTGCAGTTTTAATGTTGCGGTCCAAGCTTCGTACCATGACGTGCGAGGTCACTGCGTCGCGCGAAGCCTTTACCACATGTCGAGCACGCGAACGCCTTTGGTGGACCCGTATCAGAGGCGGGCCGCCCACCATTGTGCTGGTGCTGAACCTGGTTGTCGGGCATCTGTTGTTGCTGAGCATAGGCGTGATCTGGGGGGTTTGGGATGTAGTTGCTGTTGTTCAGCATGGGCATGGGCGCCTGCATCTGTGAGGGCGAGGGGTAGCGGAGGCCGTTCATGTGCTGCTGGGGGATGGAAGGGTATGAGGGGAGTTGCTGCTGTGGTTGCTGCGATGAGTAGCGCGATGAATCTGACGGGTGAGGCGAGACGCCGCGTTCAGAACCGTTTTCAGACTTGATGTGGCCGCCGTTGAGGTACGACGGGGGCGCGCCAAAGTGCTGTTGCTGCATTGCGTGCTGCATGGTGAATAGGGAACCGTGTCCTAGGGAGGCTGTTAATCTCGCGTTCAGAATCGTGTCAAGCTCCATTGTCTCAGAGCTCGCTTCGCGTGACGGGCGACGTGGGAAAAAAAAAGGGCCAAAATGGGGAGGTTTGGGGGGTAAGAGACGGAGAGGGGGGCGGAGCGCACCAGGAGAGAGAAGGAGGGTGGAGCGGGCTGGCTGTGAGCCTCGCAGTTGCACGTGTCGCGCTGGAGTGAAGGAGAGACAGGAGGGCGGAAATCAGTAGGCGTCGACGACAAGAGTCGGGATGCTTTGGAGCGGCAGTGAGTACAAGTCGAGTCTCGTGTCGGACCGCGCGCAGGTCAATGCAGCGGAGGGACTGGACGAGGGCAAAGTCAGTCGCGTGGGTGAAGGAGCGTGGAGGCAGCAGAGCGGGTGAGCGAGTGAAGGGGCAAAGGAGTGGCGCGCCAGAAATTGTCGGTCTGGCAGTCGGGCTGGCCACGGCTGGGGGGGAAAAGGGGAGTGGAGCGGTGAGAAGGGTCTTGTGCGGGAGGTTGCGGGCAGCACGGAACGAAAGCGGACCGTTCTTGTGGTGCAGTACGTACCTGAGATAGATATAGACGGGTGAGGTGTCGGGGCAGGGGATGGGCGGTGATGGGGGGACGTGGTGTTGAAAGTCTGCAGGTACTTCTTTACTCGCTGCGCGTAGTTGCCCAGAAAGTCAAAGGGCGCTAGAGCGCTTACGGCCTTGGGCGGATCCCGGCCACGAGCTAGTCAACAAAAGGGACCACGATGTGCGCCCGGAGTCCGAGCGCGAGAAGGGCCTCGTTAGTCGACTGCACACCACCTGGGCCGATGCCGTCTGGTGTCTTGGGGCTATTGCTGGTGCTGGTGCTGGTGCTGGCCCTGCTTGGTGCGGGTGCGCTGCTGCGAGCGAGGACCGACTGAAACTGCCAGTCTGCCCGACGGCTTTCCCACGCGACGGGCCCGGACAGGGGGGACGATGGATGGGTGTGCACACACACACACGCACACACACTCGCCGATGGCTGCTGCGACTCCAGCCTAACTACTGATCCCGCCAACCGCAACGCCCGGCACCGTCAAGTGGCACTGCTGCAACGCTCCCGAGGGGCGAACCGTTGTCCTTTCCGAGCCACCGCGTCCTCGACGGCCTGGTGACGTTGGCGACGGGGCAAAGAGACACTGCTTGCTGTCGGCGCGCGCGCACACACACACACTTGTCAATGGCCCAGATTGCTTTGGCCCAACAAGCTGGTCGACTGCCTTTTTACGACTGGCTGCTGCAAAAGGCGCAGGATCGTCTTGTTGCTTTTGGGCGGCAAAAAGAAAAGGTCAATGGAAGAGGCGGCTGCTGCTGCATGTCATTGTTAATCGGGTTCGCGAGCCGTGCGCTGACTGTGTTCTTTGGGGGAGGGGAGGCGAGCGAGGGGTGTCATGCGGCTTACCTATTCCCAACTGGCCTGCGGGTTGCTGCTTGCGCTCGCTTTGTTCGCAGGCAGGTGGTGTCAAGATCTGGAGAGGATCAAAGTGCCGGTTCCGTTGTGCGGTCCCTCTCATCAACGCTCTGGACAGGTGGTGCGTGTGCTGTCTGTCCTATCTCTTGGTACGGTATACTACTACACTACAGTACGGCTTAGATGCAGAGGGCGTCATGGCACGTTCAAATACACCACATCAGTGCATCCCAAGCAAAAGTCAAGTGCGGAGCAGCCCCATCCTTGCGCTCATCTCGCGCTCGCGACACTACAGCTTCACCATGGCCAGGACCATTCCTGCAAGCATGCCCCCTCCTGGCTGTCAAGGAGCCAGGGCAGTCATGCGACCTTGTTTGAGGCGTCTGTGGCGCTTTTGTGCACAGATGGAGATCCACAAGCCGGGCGATAGCACCGTCGCCAACGTATCGATGTACTGACTGTACATACACATGTACATACATACATAACCACGTAAGTACTCGAGTATCTGCCAACAGGCGCATCCACGACGGCTTCGTCGCGTCTAGACACGAGTGGGCCATGTAGGTATCGTGTCAGCTGGGCGCTCACGTCGCCATTGTTGCCAGCACTGCGAGGGCGGGCTCGCTCTCCCTTCCGCACACGGCTCTGGCCATGTGGGATTAGAATTGCATTGCAAACATGGCCAGGACGGCGACTCAGCGGTTCCTGGAGAGATGCTGGGATTGGGAGAGCATGGGCCAGTTTGGAAGAGCCATGGAAGGCCGCTAGAAGGAACAAAGGCACGGTGCATATAAGACGTGTCCTAGCCGTGCAGCGGGCGACAAGTCTGCGTGCCGGCAAAGGGCCCAAGCACAAAGGTGGGTTTGAGACAGCAGAAAGAAGCATAGCATTCTCAATCCCCAAGAAGTCTGGCTGTGCTGCAGGGCAGCCTATTGGCGAGGCGTGTCCAGAATGGCGGAGGCTGGGGGACGCCCTTCTGCCTTGTGAGACGGCCGTCGACGCCCCTGAAGCTCCGTGGAAACACTTTGGGCTCACGAACGACGCGCCTTTCCCACCCCCTCCCCCCCCACGAGGCCGCCACACAGCTGTAACCCCCAGAAACACCTGCGTGTGTTCGCCGGAGGGGATTGGCCCTTGTTGGCGATATATATGGCAACACACACACCCACGCTCCCCCTGGCGACGGGTGCCTATGGTAAGTAGAAGCAATGCCAAATCGACGATGGCGGTAGTAGCAAGTCTGTCTCGACGAAATTCAACCCCCCTCCCCCTGGGCCATTTGCGGCCCAGCGCCGTGGGGAGACGGGCTGGCATGGCAGATTGCGGCCAGGCTAGGTAGGTGCAAGGCCAGGACAGGCGGCACGTGGTGCGTTCTCGGACAAGGGCACGGCGGACGGCTACGCTGTCTGAATCCCCCACCGACATTTCAAAACATTTGGGCGGAGGACTTGGTTGCAGTTGCGGTGAAGGAGTCGTGGACTGGCACTGGGCTGCTTGGGGCACTCGGTATGCTTCCGCTAGATCCGTCTGTGCTTGCGCGTCCCACCCCGGCCAAAGTATCTGCCGGGGCCCACCAGTCCCAGCCTCACTCACTGTGTTTCGATCATCGACACACGCACCCCCTAAACAGTTGTGCACCACCACCTACTACCCTGCATTGCGACAATGCCCATCACATCACTCACAAAAGCACAAACAAGTGCAAGCCCTCCCCCAACTGCGATTGTCGCTGATCGACGCCTGCCGCCTGCACCCCGTCTGCCCATGTTTTCTGATTCTTCTGCTTGTCCCCTCCATCCATCCCCCTCTCTCTCTCTTTCTCTGTCTGACCCTGCCAACTCTAATTGCTAATAATGCGCCGGCCAGCGGCACCCACTACCGCTAGCCTGGCACATTTTGTCCCATCATTTTGCAAATGCAACGAGCTATTCTTGTCTTTGGAAGCACAGGGCGCCTCAGATATCCTGTGTCATCAAAGCGTGCCACTGGCCCAGCGGCTGCGGCCCCAGCTCCCCTTGACCAACGTTCCGGCGCAAGGGCGACTTGTTACCAACCCTGCAGCGAGGCTTCGACAATATCCAAGCGCCCTTCTCTGCAATTTCTAGAAGCCGCACGCATCGCTCGTGTCACGGAGCGCTGCACTCGCCCACACCCTGTCGTTTTCCAGAAGATTGCCCATTTGCGCGCGTCTACCGCGCACACACATACACACACGCACACCCTCTCGCGCACTCTCTCACAGACACACACACACCTTCGATAGGACAGCCAACATTCCACGTACATACGCAATACCTCCGTCATGCTCGTTGAAGCCACCTTTTCTACCCGCCCGAAATGCGCCTTTTTAGCTGCTAGAAGAAGGTGTCGGCGCGGGATCAAATCCGACTCGCTTGCATCCGCATGAAAGCCACAACCCTTACCTTTTGCCATTCGGCCCTATTCATTGTCCGCTCCTGATCTGCCCTGCTCCACCAATGTCCAGCCTTCTCATCAATTGCATCGTGAGCCCCCTTTTTGTTCAATTGCAGTATAGTGCAATGTGTCCTCGTGACTACTGCCCTTGTTGGACAAACTGCCCTACATGGTCTTGCAAATGTCACTCAGTAATCTCTCTGGCCCCAGGTTCAGGACATTTGATGTTGCCGCAAAAAAAAAACCATTGCATACTTACCCAAGCATCTACTTCCTCGGAACAAGGGCCAATGCCATGGACGCCGCTGTCCAACATGGCCATCTTACCACCATAGCTTACCGTTCCGGGTGCACGTTGTTCCTTGAGCCGTTGCAAATTGGCATCTGACGGTATGCGCGGTGTACAAATGGTACATATTACATGGTTAGCACTAAACGCCGCAAGATGCAGGTGAAACATGACGGCTGCACAGACACGTCGCGCTCAATGAGTCAGTTTGCGTCATCAAATATCCCCGATAGGCGGGCTGGGCTGAGTCTCCCAATAGTAGTAGTATACATAATACAGCACATTTGCGAACCCGAATCCACTCCTCGTGTCGGTCCGCACAAACACTACATGTAGTAAGGGAAAAAAAAAGACAAGTGGCAACGGCCGACTTACGCCCGATATCGAAATACAATCATGATCATCGTCATCGTCTGAGAGAGAAAATTGAAGAACAAAAAAAGGACCGACAAAAACTAGAGTGGTCATGATTCTCAGGTCCTAGGAACTCCACCAGTACCGAACAACTCCATCTTCACCCGCTCACTGGGAACGCCATAGCTCTTCAACTGGGCCTCAACGTCGAGCATGAACGATGTGGGTCCGCAGCAGTAGTATACTGTGCTGCTATTGTCCGTGTGGAGAATTGTCCTGTCGACGCGATCGAGATCCACACGGCCTTTGATATCATAGTCGTGGCCCTGCATATCCTCTTGGCTTGGGCGTGACAGGTAGTAGACGGCATGCACGTTCCCATGGTTCGCAACACACTGGTCCATGTGCTTCTTGAAGGCCCTGGTCTGCGAGTTGCGCGCACCCTGGATCCAAGTAATAGGCCGAGCTGAATCTTCCTCGTCAATCAAAAAATTCAACATGGACATGAGCGCAGTCACCCCGACGCCCGCTGAGATGAGCACCGCTGGACTTGCTGAATTGTCGTCATGACCCGCTTCCCCGGAATCCACAAGATGGAAATCTCCAAACGGATGCGACACCTGCACCACATCGCCCTCGTGCTTTGCGTCGTGCAGCAGGTTCGAAATGTACCCCACATGCGACATGTCCTTTGTCTCCCCAAGCACCACACCAGCTTCCCTCTTGACAGTGATGCGCAAATAACTCTTTCCCGGTGCATCACTCAAACTGTACTGTCTAGCCTGCCACACACCCCCATCCAACTCCTCGACAAACACCCTAACCGAGACATACTGCCCCGGCCTGAACCGCGGCAACTTGAGCTTCGCAGCATCCACCGGTTCGAGATAGAACGACGTAATCTCCTCACTCTCCCGTATCTTCTTGGCAACCCGAAAGTCGACCCATGACGGCCAGTAGGCCGTCGAGCGGTACAGCTGCGTCTCCTTGCTAATCATGAGGTTGGCGAGCTGCCAGTACGCGGCGCCCCACGCATCCAGGATCTCGGGGGTTGCGGCGGCGCCGAGCACGCTCGCCATGGTGGACAAGAGGTGCTGCCCGACAATGGAGTATTGATCGGCGCGGATAAAGAGGCTGGCGTGCTTGTGGCAGATGAGTTCAACCGCGGGATTCAGCTTGCCCAGGTTGTCGATGTTGGCGGCGTAGGCGTACAGGGACCCGGCGAGGGCTTGGGCTTGGTGGCCCGTGGCTTGGTGGGTGTTGTTGAAGATGTTTTTGAGTTCCGGGTGGGCTTGAAGCATGTCGTGGTAGAATTGAGTGGTTATTGCCGTTCCGTGTTCTGCGAGTACCGGGACGGTGCTCTTGATGATTTGGACTTGGGTTGGTGTTAGGGTGGCCATTGTTTTGTCTGCCTTGATAAAGTAAATCCTTGTTTTAAAGTTTAAGTAGCTTTGTCTATGCTTGACAGTCAAGTAGTAATAGTAGAATGGAAACTCCTGTCGTTGTTGCTGTATGTGAATATGTAATATGAATATTCCCCCATACCACATCTTTCACAATGACACACCTATATACCTCCTCCCTTACCATCCGACCAACCCCGTCATTCCTACATTCCCCGTCCAACACCTTTGCATCTCCGCGGTACTACAACTTTCACCTTTCTATCCAACCCCAATTCATCACCCTCGTGGCCTGTTTTCCCGGTCCACATGCAGATATCTCGCAAGGCGTACAGCAAAGAACCGCGTGATATAATGCTGAGTCCGCTTGCACTTGCACCGGAGAGAAAAATGACCAAAAATAAAATGGGCTTGGAACGCAATGCAAAGAATTTGTAAGGTACAAATCGGAACGTTTTTTTCCTCAGTGGGGCGGGCCACCAGAATTACGTATTGATTTGGTTACACTTTTTGCACGTTACTCTCATATTTTTTAGCTAAGTTGTAGCGGTTTCTCCGATACTTCCGTCGCTGCTGCAAGGGGCTTTTTGCTTCGGCTGCACTTGCCCTGTGTCTATCTCTTTTTTTTCCTTGTCGGATTGGGAACCAAAAAATGAGCAAGGGATTGTGAGTTTGATTTATTTATTTATTTATTTATTCATTTATTTATTTTCTCATGAATAGAATTTATCTGGTTGGCTGGAAGTGTGGAAAGTGCGAGAAAAGTAAGTATCGAAATACTTAGGTTTAACTTTATCATTCGATCCAAAAAAAATGAGCCATACAAAACACGCAGCGTGGAAACCAAGATTTGCGCTGCTGCAAGCTAATCAGCTGTGCGAAATTGCTCACACCATTTTTCTCTCTCTCTCTCTCTTTGAAAACGCTTAACATCAGGCATTGCATAAGTGTTGCGTTGCGCGAGTCTCTCCTCACGCGGGCAGACCAAAAAAGAGGGCTGAGAAAGAAAACAAAAATGTCACACCACAAACGTCAGATAGCCACACGATACTTTTTTCCCACTCTTGCAAGCCACGACGGCGAACGCAGCACATAGCCCTTTTGGTCCCGCGCCACAGATCGGTATGCCGACTTCTTCCGACAAAGAACTCGTGGTACAGGTTTTTTCTTTTGATTATTCATTCATGACCTCCCGGACCCCCCGAATCCCGTAGGGCGCAGGATTAGTAAGAGAGGCTTATGTGTATGGTGCGTCTGGATGCGCTGTAGAATTGGGAAATTGATAATGGGCATATTGGTCAGGCGTCCCTGTGACACTGGTTGGGACGACGCTGAGTGTCGGGTTGTGAGATTTTTTTGGGTGGGTTGAGGTGTTTGTGTTCTCCGCGGAAGTGCAATGGAAGGATGGTAAGAGGATTGCAAGTATGACGTGGATAGGGAGAAATTGGTACAATCACATTCTTTACATATCTGATTTACAAGTTCACTGAAAACATGTGCGTCAGGGACTATACAAAGGTGTGTGTTTGCTGGATGGACTACATTACACCTAGTAGGTGTATACCTAGACGGGACCTCCCTGGCTGCTGAATGGTACGCGCTTTGTGCGTTGTAGCTTAGACCAGTGCTAGGTCCTTTGGTTCTTAGATTTTTAGCATAGTGTCAGACTCTAGGAACTAATAGTGGCGAGGTCCCTGTGCTTGACAAACGGCGTTGTGACATGAATCTAGCTCTGGGGAACGGCGGGCCTTGCATGTGCTATGACTATGCAATGGTCAGCGCTTCAAGTCGCCTCCACCGGGGCGGGCGGGACGTTCCGACTCATCAATATGTCCTCTGCGCCTATTATTTCCAGACCGCCGTTCTACTGTCTGTATAGAGTTTTCCACATGACTCTTTGACTCTAAAGGCTTTATGCAGGGCCTTTTTCGCATTGGGAAGGCGTTGCCACTCAACTGGGTCTCCAAGCATCCTGGGTACGGACTCAACCTTCTTTTTGGCACGTACATACGCGAGACGTCTTGACCATTAGTTACTTCTCGAGTAGCGTTCGCCTCGTATCCAAGGGGTACGTCTCACCAGTAGTCTTGGGCACACCGTTCGTGGAGTTACCTGCATGACACCTTTTCGTATAAGAACAATGAGACCGATAATCCCAACTTTGAATCCATAAATGTCCAAAATAGAGCAACTCAAAGAAGCACCAAAAAATTGACGCATAATAAGCCACACAACTCGCAAGTCTATGACGCTGCATGCATATCTCGAACACAAACAAAGTTTCAACACATTTCAAAACATGCATGAAGGCTACATCCGACACAACCACAAACACATGCAATGCCAGACTCACGCCTTCTCGATACTGTCTCGGCCATTTACTCCGCAAAACGCGGTCTGCCAGCAAAAGCAGTAACAATGAGAACGGTAATATCGCCACTCTGCGATAATCCGGCTGAGGGGCCGGCGTACCCGTAGCAAAGTTCTTGCTAACGAGCACGACCCCTATATACCCATACTATAGGCTTTTACGGCTTCATTCATATGCTGTGCGACCAGCAGACGCAGTACATGACTAGAACTGCAGAGTCGGTGAAACTAGGTGGATACTTTCTACGTAAGTTCATTGTCACGGGGTACTTTCAAGACCGAGGAAGAGCAGTCGCCAGGTCTTGGGAAGGTCCGAATAGTTTGCAGTGGCTGGGGGAAGACAAGAGTTTCGAGATAATGGATAAGGCGATACCAGAGATGGAGGCAAGAGAGGCAGGTAGGCTAAGGGGCAAGTGGCGTTTATTTCGGTGTTGGTCCGAAAAAGTGGTGAGATTCTAGTGAACCCACCACTGTGCTTCTTTGTGAACGCATCCGGCACCATTCATAACACCATTACTACGATATCGCGATCGCTACTCACACCTCAATACACCCAACCCACCGCCTCCCAAACCCTCCTCGGAAACTCTTCACACCGCGGAATATCAGCACACCAAACTGAAACACCCACCAACGCAGCCCCCATCCCCGCTACAAACTTTATCTCCCAATCTCACTTCTATTGCACAACTATCTCTCTCGCCAAAGAAGCAAAAAAATTGATCTTCAATCGAAACCAAGCCCAAAACCGAGACCGCGGTGTGAATACCGAAAAAGAAAACCTTCCATCGCGATGACTGACACACGCGCCCCCGCCGCGAGCATATTCCAAGGAGAAAGGAAAGGGAAAGAACAAAAAATGAGCTAGTGCGACTGGAGAAACAGTGAGAAACACAGAAGCAAACAAAAAAGATTGTTGATCGCGTGTCAGTCACCACGCCATTTTTATTTTCGTGCGAATCAGAGCTAGTACCGGGACTAGCGCGACTTTGTCAGAAAGGTTTCGCTCGGTTTTTCTCGGAGTATGGGGGAGAGCATAAGTGTGTTGCATTATTTTTGTGCAAAGGGGGTAATGAATGCTGTATTGGGGGGGGGTTGGCTGTGTGGAGCGAACGTATGCAACCGAGGATTTTCTCGTGACTTTTGTGATTGGGAGTCTGAAGGAGCTGGGCGTAGTATTGCGCTCTCTTGGTAAGTTTGAAGGACAGATCTCGCGGTTTGGGATTCCCTCAGGGAATCTTTGGCGTAACGTGAGGTATCGTCGTGGTAAGGGGGCGTAGTGAAAAACAGTGGTTGTAGTAACGGTAAGTGAGGAGGTCAAGATGTCACTGAACACCATCTTACGTGAATCTGATTCACACTCTTTCTTTGCTCTCCCTGAGAGCATGTATTCGGTCGTGAGGTGTGTATGTAATATGCAAGCTTTGTTCGGTAATATCTTCTTTCTTGATACTGTTGTGGTGCAGGCCTTTTGAGAATATATGGTTAAAGGCATTGTATGATGAAGAGAAGGATACTGACGTGTATGAGTACCAAGTTCCAAGCAACAGCGAAAGAAGGTACAACAAGCAGACTGTCCTCAAGGCTATAGTCGGCAAATCACAAGAAGGCGAGAGTGAATTTATTCTTCTTTTATTTCTACTGGGATATATTATTATATCTCCAGGGTGTTTCCAACTACTCTCCATATTCTTTATCTTTCTACTCTAGTTTGATAAGTCTGTCTCTTCGCCAGGTACTCTTGGAATGCCTGACGCCTTCAAAGACGTTTTAGCCTTCCTGGAAAACACAGGTTGATGGCGAGATATGCCCCATACGTGAGCGCTCATTAGACTCTTCGCCGGGATTGATGGATTTTTCGGATGGTCATCATCTTGATCCGCTGTCAACTGGAAGTCTTGGCAGAAAAGCGCAGCTTGAAATACGTGAAAGCTCTCTGCGGGAGTAGGCAGGCGGCGGCCCTGGCAAAGAAAATGTACTTTCGTTATTCGATCCTGCATTTCACGCGTGTTTGCAATAACTGTTTTCAATGTCAGAAACAAGAACCAGCTTGGAGGCTGGACGCGAAGTGCTGATGGTGATGACGGGTATTAAATATAAAACTAAAGCTACACATCCTTAAAAACGGCTGTGGATTCAACAAGATCAAGTAAATCTGCCTGGATATCCTCGCTTTTTTATATCATATAGCTGTGTGCCACTACGATTGCAAGATTTTTTTAATGAGGTCCCGCTCTTCTATTACTCTGACAGCTAGCTAGTGTGAGAGACGTAGCTCAAAAAATCAAGTCAGTAGGTGGCTACTCTGTTGAGCAGTCTTACATTATAGATTATCTGCAGCGTATCATTGCGTCTATTTGTCTATACCGCATGCAAGAAGCGGTTGCGTTGCTTCAAATTGAGCAGGAGAGACGTCTATATGCTACAGGGCTAACTAATCAGAGGTATTTAGAGCACAATCAACCACGCTGTTACTACTAAGTAACCAATTAGCGCCCTAACCAACCAAAGCAGCCACACTCCACCAACAATACTCTACCTCGACCTACGGCTCACAAGACTCACTGACACATAAAGCACAATCTGCCTATCGTCTCTTTGCCTCCTTCACCCACAAAACGTCCTTCTTCAACTAAACCCAATCACCACACTCTTCGCAAGCATACTCAACTATGGCCGCAGGTTCACGAGTCTCCTTCAGTCATGGTGCTGTTGGGGGCAAACATAAGATCTACGCCAGTTACAACTTCTAATTCAGAGCGTATCAAGGTAAGTGTCCTCTACGGTTTGGACGAGAATAGCAAAAAACCTATTCTTGTCTTCAAGCTCTGCTCAGACGCTAAAGGTCCCGAGGTGAAGACGGAATGCGGCCTCTGCGCTAAACTTGATAATGATAAATGTATTGAAAAAAAATAAGTGTATACCAAGCCTTTGCTGAGCTTCCACAGCAAGCCTAATACCACTGACCTAGATCCTTTACTACCCTTCCTTTACGTAACTAAGAAACTTATCTCCCGTCGCGACAGTCACCTCGAAATTCTCAACAAAGACCTCCTGCTCCCATCGGTACTCAAATGGTGCTTCAACGCGGCTATCAAGGCATCCCTCGTTGACGTCAAACTTGCTCTGCTCGCCGGATGGAGGCACAAGCTCACAGGCGCTTACAAATACCTGTTCATTGTCTCGCGCGCTCACCATCCTTGGCCCGAAGCCAGTATGGAGAATCATCCCGAGTCCGGTGTTCACGAGCTCCATTGAGGCGCAGCGTCATTAGGGTGCCTCAACATCACATATATAACGTAGCTCGTATCCCCCTTTTTTGCTTTATATGTTTTAGCAAGAATATGGCGTATTGCATTTGGGCACTGTGTAGGTGAATTTGAAGTCTGGTCTGATGCAAATAAAAGGCTTCAGGTGCTGTTTCTCAAATCATGAGATAATCACACCCATGCGACAATAGGGTCAAGTATCACGACGAGAAGTGAAACAAGCCACTAGACGGTAGAATTGACAAGAAACAAATCTTTTGCGAAAGAGGCTCGATAGTTACCTATTCTCATACCTCACCTTCCTGTGTTTTGCTAGTGCCTTCTATAAACACAATTTTCCTACTGTTTTCGTACTGCAACCGCTGTCAAAACGTTCCCGATATTGAATGAGAAAAATGATTTTGATGTTGCGGATACCAATATTGAGTCTGAGTGTCCTGCAGCGGAAGTTTCCAAGAACCGAAGAAAGCATCCGATTAGTTCTCGGAAAAGCTGTTGAGAAAGAAGACTTTGCATTCGGCCAATAATTTCTTACTTGATGTTGTCAAATTGACCGCAACGGCCACCATGCTCAAAGAGAACAATTCTTGACTTCTTTTTTTTGAGGCGCAAGATTATTCGAATTCATTCGTGCAATATCTTTGACACATAAAGTAAGCTGAGCTCGATAATTGTAGGCGATCGAGTCACGTGGTCAGTGCGACGGTAAAAAAAGACGAATAGACATTTTGCACAGTCAGAGGCAGATTCGAACACTGGAACCGCCTCGACGATGCCAAAAAATTGCCAAAAAAATGGTAGCTTCTCTTTGATTGAGCGTGTCATCCTTAGTGCAGGGGCCATGCTAATCTTCTCTGTATCGTTTCATTGACCAAATGCCCGAAGGCGAAGTGTAGCAAAATTAAGAAAAATATAGAGTTGATTGTACTCAAAATTGGGTCAGAGGGCAGCATCAGTGGGACGTGCGATGGCGACCCCTATGTGGACGATGCACGGATGGCGCACGGATCGTTGAATCCTCGTTATTGCCAATATCTGACGTAAACCCTCTCCACCGCTTTCCCAGCCTCCGCTTTCCAATATTGTCTGTGCAACTTTGTTTGTACACGTGCTCTGAGTGGACATAATTTCATGTCTATTTCGTCCTTTGCTTGAGTCTGAATAGCCTTGTCATCAATTGGAGACCGTGCCACCACTGATTTACCCCTACTCTACATTTAGGCACGGCGTATTGGTGTATCCGTTATCCGCAGTTCCTAAAACAGGCGATTCGGAAATTTACAAAGAGCTAGAATACTACCCTGAACGGAATCGCCTAGCTTCTGCTGCTCGCCTCCATCTGGTGTCGCGTTGGAGGCATCCCGGACGACACAAAGGGCATTGGAGCAAACCATTATGGCCTTAATACGGATACATTGAGATTAATTTTCGTGACCCCATCTTGTAGCGTGAATCGAACTTATCTTGGTAGTGAACTATGCGTTCCTAAAATATACGCTCTTGAACCGTCAACGAGCTCTTTACTTGATCACAGATCGTTGAGTGACAGAAACTAGCGCCCCAACAGCGCCCCAACAGCGCCCCAACAAGGCGATGGTTCGGACGCGTGGGGTCGCGGGATAACTGTGTTCAATGTATTTGGGAACGATAAAATCGATCAAGATCCAGTGGGTTAAATTTCCGCTAGTTTTCAGGAGAATTGAGAGAGTGATATATTTAGTCACATATGACGATATCATGTCAAAGACACAACATGTGAGATTGTTAAGTAGGGCCGGATCTATTCACAGTCTCGCAATCACAAGTATTCTCATTTCAGCTGACAACAACAATGTAATACCTTTTAACATGTCAGAACAAGGAGTCTGAATTCATTCATTCATTCATGGCCACATACAGGCTGATTTATTGCTTTGCGCTCAGAACCTCTTTGACGACCGCAATGACCTGTGGGAATGCATCCTTGGGAGCAGCGACTATGCCCTTGTTTTCGTTGAGTGTCCTACCAAGACCAAAGTCAAGTGGCTTTCCATAGGCATCGGTGACTTCGCCGCCTGCCTCTTGGACGAGGACAACGCCAGCAGCATGGTCCCAAATCTTCTCTTGATAAGTCTTACTAGTAGGCAATCTCAAGTATAGATCGCCAGCTCCACGGGCAATAGAGCAATATTTGGCTTGAGAATCCATGCGGACCGAGGGCTTGGTGATGCCGAGCTTGGAGGCAATGGCAGCATTGTCACCCTGTGATGAGTGACCCGCTTCAACAGACTCGCAAAAGGTAGCTTGGGTAACGTCTGACAGCGGTTTCATCTTGATGCTCTTTGGTTCTTGGAGGGTACCCTTGCTCAGTGGTCGGCTGGTAGCACCTTGTCCCTTTACTGCAGCAAACAAAACACCCTTACCTTCCTTGTCATCTGCATCTTGTCCAGTTGTGACGTCAAGGGGTGCTTGGTCGTCTACTGGGAGGTTGGGGCACCCAATGACACCCAAAGTTGGAACTCCATCTACAAGCAATCCTAGACAGACAGCGTACTGTCCGCCACGCAGGAAGCCCTTTGTACCATCAATAGGATCAAGTGCCCAAATTCTTCCCTTCCTACCTCCCTTGCTGTTTCCTTGGTCGATAGCAGACAGCATCGCGTCGGCGCTCTTGATGGGTCCGCCAATCTTGGATTCTGCTGCACTGTCGTCCAACTTTGCTGCTTGTACGAGGTCCCAGACAAGGTCGCGTAGCGAGTCGTTCTTGCGAAGGTCATCGGCATCCTCTTCTCCAACTATCTCATCCTCGGGAAAAGCATGCTTTATGGATGCGATGATCAGGGCCTGTGCGCCAAAGTCGCCAATTGTAACGGGGGACGAGTCGCTCTTGGACAGGGTGCCCTTAGAGTGGCTCGAGTATACCGACTTCGTGAGGATAGAGGCGCGCTGAACGGCCAGGAGAGCAATCTCGAGCTCTTTTTCATATGCCATGATGTGCGTACTGGAATTCGTATGTAGGAAGTGTGACGTCTGTATTGCGATGAATGGGTAGATGTGCCGTTTCAATTGAGAAAGTCGAGCAACACTGCGAGAGAGCAAAGACGGGTTGAGGAGTGAGAAAGCCAGGATGGCAAAAGCTAGCAGAAAGAATCTTGATGGCGCAATGTGAGTGGACATGAGCTAGTGGTCTTGTACCCCTCCACGCGCTGGTGGGGGTTTTGCAGTGGGATGGGTTCACGCCCAGGGATCGAGCTTGGCAACGGCGGGCGGAGGTTACTGCTTTGGTCATGGCCGCCATAGCAACAACAACAACCCTACAGCTTATGTGACCGACTAGCTGCTTTCGACATTGCCATCACACATCGCTTTCTCTGCGTTGGCATTTTGGCCTTTCTTTCTGCAGTACTTGTCTGGCATTCGGCTAAGACCCTGACTCTCCCGTCTTACCCGCAGGAGAGTAAACAAAGACTGGTACACACAAGCCCACCCACCTGCCACATCACGGTGCACGCCATTCTGCGCATCAAAGCTCGAGACACCCCTACACGCAATATCGCTGCCCTGTCAGCTCAATAATACATAATGGATTCGACACAGCAGCAGCCAGCGCTTGCAACCACCAAGCGCAAGTTCAACAAACTTCTCGACAACCTCACCGCAAGTACATCCACCACTTCACTCGCGAATAGCCTCCAGGAATCAAACGCATCGGTGGAATCACTTTCGGACCCAGATGACCCCAATCAACCGAACAAACGCCCACGCAGCGCAGGCTTGAGTACAGAGCGAGAACGGAACATATCAGAGGGCCAGGAGCGTATACGGCAACTGAAGGAGCAACTCATGACGCCACGAAGAGAGGGAACTGTCAGAGTTGTAGGAAAGACACTATATACCCCCAAAGCCTCGACGCCAAAGGCCTCGACACCGCGCAAAGAACCAAACTTCCAACCCTATAGCCAAGAGCATTTTCTCGCGAGGCTCAAGACATTTGCAGATGTGAAGAAGTGGACTACGAAACCAGATGCAATAAATGAGGTCGAATGGGCTATGAGGGGGTGGAGCTGCGATATTTGGAACACAGTCGCCTGCAAGGGAGGCTGTGAGAACCGTGTGGCGGTCAAGCTGAGGCCTAAACGAAAAGACGCAAGTGGAAGAGATCTTGAAATGAGCGAAGACCTGACGGTTGAGATCGACAATGCGTTGGTGGAAAGATACAAAGAGTTGATCATCGAGGGACATGCTGAAGATTGCCTGTGGAGGAAGCGAGGCTGTCAAGGTATGCGCTGAGATGTGTATGAAATGGACGCACTTTCTAACAACCGAAACAGAAGACATTTATCATATCCCCATCGCATCACGAGCGAAGAGCTCAGCCGAACTGCTCGATCGATACCGCTCCCTCAGGGCCATATCTACCGACCTACCCTTTCTCGAACACATCACATACCCCGAGCCGTCGATACGCCGCATCGTCGAGCGCATACCTTCTACGTTCTTCACATCGACGCCCGACACTCCATATCCCACCTCCTCAACCGACATAGTAGCGTTTGGCTTTGCTCTTTTCGGATGGACAGGCGTTTCAGAATCGCGCATCTCCCTCGCAGTTTGCAACCACTGCTTCCAGCGCCTGGGCCTCTGGCTCTCTTCTGCCTCGCGCCTGCAAGAAATGAGCCGAAAACTCGAAGTATCTGTGGACAGCCTTCGCCTTAATCTCGTAGAAGCCCACCGCGAGCACTGTCCCTGGAAGAATGCAGAGGTACAAGGAAATTCCAAAGACGGCCCCATAGCAAACATGGCAGCCTGGCAGACGCTGCAATTCATACTCCTTGGAAGATCCAAAGACGTCTTTTCATCTTCCTCCGCCGCCGCCGCTGGCCCGAACACTCCGCAGAAATCGACGCCGAGGAAATCGCATGCCGGCCGCACGGACAGCGTCGAGTTGGATGCGGATCTCGAGTATCCGCGTGGCAGTATAGATAGCGTTGATCGACCCAAGTATAACGA